CTCGCGCACCACCTTTGCCTCGCGCCTGGGAGGGTTCTGCATTTCAAGCCCACCCCAGCCTGCGCGGAACCCAGCAACCAGCCGAACCCCCCCCCCCCTGCCCCGCCGTAGACACCGAACAAAAAGAGCCGTTCAGACCCAACCCCAAAATTGTGCACACTGAGGGGGTAGCTTACTCTCCTAGTCTCGGGGCCAGACCTGGATCTTAAGGCTCCAGGCCTCCGGCCTCGACGGATAACAAAAGGTTGTTCAGGGCGAGGAGATCGCGAGATCAGCGAAAGGAAGCATTTGCCCAATGAGAGCCTAACTTAGCCTTATAAACAAACCGAAGCGTCAACATGAGGTGCATGGCGAAGGTTCGGGTCGTGTCGTGCCGATTTGGTCCACAGCTACTAGAACGGAATGGAAAAGGTCAATGTGATCCACAGACCGTGTCCAGTAAGAATGAGATCCGACCAGCTCATGTCCTCTAAGTTGCGTGAGAGCCTCAAGTCTTCAGCCAAGTCGGGAAGGCCATGAGGGCTGCACGGCTGGCTCGCTTGGGTGGTCCTGCGGGTGGTGGATATGCAGCTGAAGGCGATCTCGGAATTCACGTTCACCTTGATCAGAGCTCCAAGATGTTCCCTAATTCTGGAATCTGCTTCTCAGGACAGCCGGCAGCTGCTGCCAGTCAGCCTCAACCCAACACCGCTTCGTAAAGCAAATGCTGTGAGCAGTCATGTCGGCGCTGCAGACACGCAGTGAATGTTTCACCCTGGCAGTGCGCTGCTAGCGTAAAGTAGCAGAACAGGTTGCCATCCTCGAAAATGCCCACAGTTGCAGCAGTTGAGCAGGACGATGGCCGTCTAAAAAATTCAGATGAGCATGCTGCCCGTGAAGCTGCCATCCGCAGACACGGCCCAAACAAGTGGGCCACAAGGTAACACGACCGGCGGATCCAGTGTTCTCCTCATGAAGGTTGGTGTTCATGTACCAGTAGCTCTAGTAAATGTATGCGCTTTAGCACTTACCATCAAAATGACTGTTCCATTCAAGTAGCCTTATGTGGTGTATGCAAACGTGTCCGTGTGGAAGAACGGTTCTTGCAACGCTTTCGCTCCTCATCTTGCTCCGCTTGTGAGAGGCCTGGCTATTCTGTTTTCTTTTCGAGCTGGCGCTGGCTGGGTCCTCGCATAGCCAAAGTCATCTCTGATTCTTTTCCACAGCATCTCGCCCAGAGTCCACGGAAGGCTTCTGACAGCTTGCGAGCACAGGGCCCGAGGTGCCCTCAAAACGTTGAAGTGTCACAGTGTCACTTGCATTGGGAGGCTTTGCCTGATTTGTGTTGGTGCTGGCAGGATTAGGCTATCATGGGAGGCTGGGACATTTTGGAATCTCAGCCAGCTTTGTAACATCGTGTTGCTGCAGCCAAGATTGGAGAGCATTTGCTGCATTTGGCACAAGTCACACAGCCACGTGCTGCGCGCTCGCGGCTGCAATGGCGGGTGCAGCGGGTTGGAGATAAGTGTGCATGTTTGCCAGCAAAAGCTTTAGCAATGTCGGTCGAAAGACGGCGCAGAGCATCGACACTCTGAAGAAGAGACTTGGAGTTGACGTGGCCACTGTGCCCGACAAATATGACAGCACTGGGACGTTTCCTAGCTCCGCATCTGACGGCTCCTTGCGGAAAGGCCAGTAGACGTCAAAAGTTCATGCTCAGGAACCTCAGGCTGTGGATTGACGTCCTTTACTTTCGTGCAGCCATGTGCGTCTGTAGAGAGTTTGGATTTGGAGCTGCTGGGAGGGGATCAGGCAAGCCTCCATGTTGGCCAAGGTTCATAACGGATCATACAGGTCACTATGTATCGCGCCATACTTCTACACCTGTCCTGGTGCGATTGTCGGCTTCGAAATTCAAAGCCAGATGGCACAGGTCAGCAAACCATGACAAGATTGCTTGTACAAAGAAACTTCTGTGATTGCTCTCATATGAGTAGCGGGCTCTGGGGGTCATGAGTAAGCTGAGGCCCATGCAACATTCGCTGTTTGCTCAGGCATCCTGTTTCAAGGAGGTTGCATAAGGTCTTCAGTGTTGGACGCCCTTTTCTATGTGATGCCGAAGAAGGCAGAGCACTGCTGTTCACAGGCTTCAATCAATCAATCAATCAATCAATCAATCAAGCTTTGGCAAAAGCAGGTTCGACGCAAGACCTGATTCAGAAGTTTTCGCGAAGAAAGGTCATAACTGCCGAGCTCAAGCAGGCAGACGGTGCGTAGTTTCATTTCCGTTCGGGATCGATTGGCATGCACCTTTGCGATCCTCTGCGTGCCAGGTCGAGGAGGCTGCCGAGGAGACGCTGCACATCCCTAGGTGTGCCAGACAGGCGGATGCGCGGAAGCCAGTGCAAAAGCATGCAAAAGCAAGTGATCCTGTCCAAGGTGCCCCCTGTGCAGAACACCTTCGCATTCCGCTCCCTTGGCCGGGAGGACTGCAGTAACGTGAGTAATGTTTGCTGGGGACGCGGAGGATTCCAGATGAGGAGGCGAAACCAGGAATTGGATACAGTTGTCCTGCCGACGGGAACATGTCGGCATATGTCGGCAAATGCCGCGGCAAGGGTAGTCGCTAGTTTCTGCTGGCAGTATCTGCAGGACTTGGACAAGCTTTTGAAAAATGATGACGTTCCGCCTGTAGGCGCGTAGCTCAGAAGGCACGATGTCTCTTGAGATCACTCCGCTGATGGGCGCAGGCAGCTATTCTCCAAAGGATGACTCATCCCAAGCCTTCTTTGTTGGCTTACGGGATCAGACCAGTCCGCATTTTCAGCTCTACTCAAATAATTGCAGACCACCCAGGGAGGGTTGGCAACTTTGCCAAAGCTCGGCTCGCTAATCAGTGCCAACAGCGGTGGCTGCTGGAAGCTGGCTGTTGGCATTGACTGAAAGAGAGTTCGACTTGGCAACAGCCCTGGTTCGCCATGCCATAGCTTTTGTTGGGCTTCGTGTGCCATGCGCCATCCAGAGTTTGTGTCATTGCTCAATTGTTAGCAGTTCCTGATGGCGCCTCCAAGCAGAATCGCCGCTTCAGAAGCCACAGTGACAGCGGGGAGTCGCTGGAATTCTTTCCACCATGTGTTAGCTCGAGTCCCTGTACAGGATTGTACAGGAATCTTGCAGGACTGTTGGGTTCGAGGGTTTTCTTCTTCCAGAATGGCAGAGGCCCATTTGTAGCAGATGAGTAAAACCGGGGGCTGAATGGCTTTAACGCACAATGCAAGCAAACAGTTTCTTGCTGGATGTGTGGCCATGTAGATTCATAAATGTTCATTGGTGTCCCTCTGCAGGTCAAACATCCGCCACCTCGAAGCTGTAGCTTTGCAGCTCGGGAGCTCACACGCAGCCGAAAAGTCGTGCTTGCAGAGCGACTTCGTGAGCAAGGCGTGAAGCAACAATGTCACTCTGAGCCGCTAAGCCCAAAGACTCTGAGATCTCTGGGCAAGTAGTGCGAGCTGTTTCGCTCCACATAGCAGGCCTGCCATATGAGCATTTGCTCGAGAATCCTGGACGAGAACTTTCAGAGGGGCCGCCAGAAAACCCCTTGGCTAGGAAGAAGCAGGTAGTCCTTGCTCCTTGCTTGCAGTCAAACTTACACAGCAGCTGGGTGCTACGAAGTTCTGTAATGCTCGGTGGTCGGCTTTCATGACTCAGGTGGATATGTCCAAGCAGCTTCCGCGACCAGACCTCATGAAGTCTGCCAGCATCGTCTACAACGAGACAATTGCCATTTCTTCTTGTGGGTTTGAAGAAGCGCATAAGAAGTGTGCCAAGTTTGGAAGATTCTACAGGCAGCCATGCTACCCGATCTCCCTCCTTCCGCGATGTGAGCAGACCCAGGATTCCTACACTCAACCTGGCGAGTTTAGCATCAACTTGGACTTCGTAAGGCCAAGGCTTGCAGCCAGCATGGAGTTCCGGAAGAGACCTGGCCGGAAGGATATTCTTGAGTAGCTACATGTGGCTACCTGGATACCTGGTGTGATGGTTTAAGTGATGTTAGGAAAACCGCTGGGCTTTGCTCCGCGGTCTCATCTAATCGCGTCTCAACTTTGAAGCAGAATGCTTCTGACCCCTTTTACGCCAAGATTTTGTTGTTTGCCTTTGCAACCCACTGTGCAGTTTCTGTTGCTTTGAATGGCTTCCAAAGGAAGATGTTCACCAACTGCCGCTGCTCTTAAAAATGTGAAGAAGTCACTAGCAGCTAGCATGTGTTGCACAGTTCGGACTGGGCAGGCAGACTTGGGCGGAGAGGAGAATTCTTTCTCTCGCGGACTCGCGACGCAGTCATTTAGTCGGATCGAGCCAGGCTCGACTAGGGATTGACGTCTGGATTTCAAAGAATTTGAAAACTGTACAGGCCCGAGCATGAAGGTCTTGCAGCCGGTCTACTTCAAGTTCCGCGAGCATCACGGTTCCTCAGCTGTGGATGAGAAATTACTAGTTACTAGAGCATGCTTCATGGGCGCATTCGGTGCATGCACCATTGCTTTCTTCCACAACAGACGAGCAGCTCCTGCCTTGCCAAGGCCGGACGTTGCTTTTGGCACAGGAAGTTCGACGTGGAGGGACCGCAGTTCTCTTGGCACGCTCAAGCAGCGGGGACAGAATCCTGAAGAATTTGTGACTTAGGTGAGGTCGTGTGCGGCAGATTTCATTCAGCTGGAAGAGTGCTCCACTTAATCTGCTCCACGTGCAGCTCTTTTCAAGTGCAGCTGCCCAAGAATGTAATCTGCAAGATGGTGCTTTTCAACAGCCCTTGGCTGCGCACCCGCCCTTCAAGAAGGCCTACGCTTTTACTCCCGTTTAAAGCTGGAGCGCTTTGAGCCCTTGCAGAAATGCAGCGCCACGCTTCATGCTCTAGGCCCTCCTTTTAACTTCCATGTTAACACTTCCATTTGCTTCATTCTCGTTAAGCTGTGTTGTTCTAAGAGTAGCACGTAGCCCTACCACTTCGCTGTGGAAGGACAACGCCACTGTCACAGCACAATGTGGCTGCCCAGTTTGTGTTGTTCTTTTCACTATTGGCAACTCTTCCTTCTCAATGAAGGCCTGCACGAACCATTACGGGTATCTGCTGCTGGCTCTCGCCAAGACAACGCATCTAGCTTAAATAGCACGACCTGAAAACCATATTGAAGCAGGATATCGACCCATCAGTTTTGGCCGCATGTGTGGCTCCTGTGCGCTGCGTAGACCACTGAAGAACCGCATCAGCCAACAGCCGTGGCAAGTGAAGAAGCATCCTTGAATAATCCTTGAATAGCGTTTCTTCGGTGATGGTGCTTGCGCGCCTCAGTGCAGCCGCTTGTAGGCACAATGCCGACCTGCACGCCCGTCTCACCCGCATTAGGTGGAGTGCGAGAATACGCCTAGCATGATTGCCTCGCAGGCTCAAGGGAACCGGCAGAGGCCAACCCCTGTCTCTCCATGGCAAAGCCTGGAGAGCTCCCTGCGACATGCAGGCTTAGAATTTGGAGTCAGTCCACTTGAAACTCGACAAGGCAAAGGCTCCTTTTGCTGGAGCCCGCAATATGACCTGGTCGTAGTAAAAGTGGTACAGGACATCAATCTCCCATACAGAAGCCATGCCAGGATCCTGCCTGGGAGAACAAACATGCGCGTGAGTGGTACTGACAATTGCAGTCAGGATCATGCATGAGCAGCAGGGTGTCCGCAGCATGATTCTTTCGGCAACCTGGCCACAAGGCATGAGATGTCCGTGACGCGAATAGCATTGGCGAGTAAAGGTCGCACAGCTGTCACGGTGAATAGCCTACTTAAAGCAGGAGTTGGGGACAACTGAACGCATGTGGATGACCATGTCTGCGCCAAGAATCCATGGAATCTTTGGCTGGCTTGAGCCCAAGCGGCCATGGGCACTATCGGTGTCAGGTTTCGATGTCGGGAAGATTCAGTTGCGTCTGCGCCAGTGCCACCTAGAATTCGATGATCTGGCTGTAGCGGAAGTCGTCGCGGACCCAGTGGACTTGCCGCGCCGCTGTAGGCTGTTTAGGTTCCTTTGCTTTCAATTAGTTAATCTGTCCGCAGGTGGCTGAACTCGACGAGAATGATGCAGATTTGTGGAGGACCCCGTGCACAAGCTTCGCCGATGCATAGGTGTTTCATATCTTTGCGTTGTGGTCCTGCCTTTGGGGTGTCGATTACTTGCCGCATGCTGTCGAGTCGCTCAGTTCAGTTTGAGAGCAGACAACAGTCGGCCAACGCAAGCTCATCGGCAAATCGTGGCTCAGCAGACTTAAATTAGATGATTCAGTGCCAGCTATGGTCACTCTATTACACTCGCACGTGTTGCAGCTCACGGCGAAGTACGGCCCAAATCAACAAAGCCTGTGGACCCTCCGAAGCCTGCGGGACCCTCTAGAAGGAAAAGCTCAACAGATTCCAACAGACGGAAAGCTTTGGCGGGCTGGCCTGCGCAGCCGGAATTCGGTAGTGCGTGATGCCAGACGTCCACGGTCCCAAGCAAGATCAGCAAACGACATCTTTTTATCTCCGCTTGTCCCCTTGGTTGGTACAGTTCCTAACTTCTGTGAACCACTTTGCCTCACGGCCGGGCCACCCTGCCCACGTTTTCAGGCAGCTGCGCCGAAAAAGAGATTTCGAGCTACGAGTCGATGAAAAGCGCTTGCAGCTGCAGGTGGCATTCTCAGATGGCCGCTGTTTTATGTACCAGTAGCGTTGGCGGTGTGCGATATGCTACTGAGCGTTCCTCTTCCGAAGATTTCTGAGGATCACCTCGCAAAGCACCAGGGTGGCCATGTGGCGCTGAAAGAGGTTTGTGGGTGTCAGCTCCTGCCGGCCTCATGAGATGGGCCTGCCAGCACGGTGCAGGCCGGTGTGTCAGTCGAGCTGCTGCAAAAGGAGGCAAAGGAAAAACCTGCAAACTCCTTTTGCGCCCGCTGCCTGCTCTGCCTGCTCTGCCCTGCCAAACCTCTGGGAGGTGAAGTTTGTGAAGGACCAGCACAGGGAACTTGAGCACGACCTGATGGTTCTGAAGGACTTTTCGAAACTTGCAAGGATGCAGCGGAAGTGGGAAGACCTGAGAGCCTGAGAGGAGTCGAACCGACTGTTGCAGCAAGCCTTCCAGGCTGGGTGGAAGGATGTGAAATAGCGTGTTTTCAAACATGTTCAAACTCCGAGATCTGCCGAGGTCTCTTCGTCCTCACAGGCTCCTCTCTGCCAAAGCCTTCTTCGAAGCAAGGAGCAAAAGCCAATGGAGCAAAAGGAGCTGCAAAAGGAGCTTTTGATTTGCCAGGACTTTGTTGCCGAAGAACGGGCTCGCGTGGAGTCGCTACAGGAAGCGAACCTTTCTGAACATCTCCTCAAGCACAAGCGGCTCTAAAGCCTGCGAAGGTACAACAGGAACAGGTTGAGCACCTCCGGATGTGACCCGTTTGATTTAAAGACTGTCGAAGAGCCTTGCTGATCCCTTTTTCAGCTGAGGCACATAGAGAGCCTCCGAGTGGAAAAACAAAGCTTGCAGCAAAGCCAGCAGGCAGAAAGGCCAAACAATCCATCGAGCTCCTTTTGACAGTTTGACAAGTTAACAGGTGCTGTTCCACAAGCAGCGCAACGCGGAGCAGGATCGAAATCGTCTGCTGGGAGCTCTGCAGGCACCATAACTCTCATGATAACTGCGAGGATGCGAGCTCTTTCTGTCACAGAATCAGAGGGCGGTATTGCAGGATGACAGGAACAGCCTGAATGACTTGCGGGCAGAGCGTATTCAGCCAGCGAGCCAGAACAATCCGAACCGAGTTGATTTACAGCCGGGGCTATGCTAGATGTTGCTTACTAAGGCTTCTTGAACAGCGCACTTTATTGGACAAGCAGATGGCAGCCATTGCCAGCCAGGCCATGCCATGTGTAAGTAGGTTACTTTTCAATTTTTGCGCGTCTTGTAAAGGTTCCTGGCGCAATTGGCAGTAGAAAGCTGGTTGTTGGCAGAAGCGTGAGGGACCGTGAGGGTGCGTTGCCTCAAAAAGGTTCATGGCAGAGCTCTCGATGGACAGCCATCCAACGGGTTTCAGGGACAAAGGTCAGAAGCTAAGTGCTTGGGTCTGGCACCGCTCTCGTAGCCGTGACTTCGTGCATCAGGCATTCCCCGTCACCAGAGCAGGCAGAAGCGTTCGACTCAAAAGGTTGAATGGCCACAATTCAAGCAGACCACCAACCAGCACGATTCAGGCTGCCAACGTCCTGTACAAGTTGCCAGGGTCGTCCGGCGGAGTGCGAGGACACCAAGAAGGATTTGCTCGTGCAAGGACTTTTTGCGTCAGCTTTGCAGGACACGTTCCTCATGACGCACCTTTGCAGTCTTCCCAGCGTGATAGCTCCATTAGCTGTAGGGGTCATTGCAGGGTCTTGTGCAGAAGAGGCCGCAGTCCTGGTTTGCCTCGAACTCGTCTGAACAGGCCAGTTCCTGTTGAAGGCTTGAGGGCAGGGCAGAAGCTTTCGACCTGCCTCATGCTGCTAGGAGATGCAGCGCACTCACTGGACTTCGTTTGAGAAGACAGATGCTGATGGGACCCAGAAGAAGGCCGCCCTCGTTATTGGGCTGCAGCCCGAAGCTGAATGCCATTGCAGGCTGAATCACCATCGTTTGGAGGACGTATGGCTGATGCTTTCCAGGTGGTTGTTCATGCTCGGCTTATCAGTTTTTGTCGATCTTGCCGCGCAGGTGTAACAGTCGTCCTCAGCGAGAGCATGCCAAAAGTTGTCGAAAGTAGCGGAAGCGGGTCGTCACATCGCGTCAAGTCTGGTTTCACGAGGACTGCAGCCGGTAAGAAGGAGTGATCAACTACGGTAGTGAAGAAGTCGTGTGCTCGTGACTGCTTACGCGTTGGAAGGAAGGTTTTGGCTTAAACTCAAACTCTTCAGAGACTAAGCGAAGACAGCAAAGCAAAGTAGATTAGCATTGCTTTGCTTTGCAACAAAGGACCACGCACTGAATGCCCTCTAAGCATATCTCAGCATAGAAAGGAGGTACAAAACCCTACAGTACAGGTACTACTGGCAGGGGGCAATAACGCGGCCTTTAGCGAGCCCCGCCATCATGGCTTCCTCCGTCAATGGAGCTGCTGGGTGATGGAAGGAGCTTTGTGCAGTCCAAGACTTGGTATGGGCATGCCGAAGACATCTCCACATAGTGGTAACCTCAAGAAGATTCAAGAAGCTTCGTGGAGCAGTACCTAGAACCCCAAAACCGGGATAAGTTTACAATTTGAGGCCGCAACAGTGCAGTGGGCCATGAAATATTTGTCACTCGTTGCGCTTCATCATTCATCGTGAGACACTCTTTGGCAGGTCTGCTTGTCGTAGTCGCCCAGTCCCTTTCTACGGTTCCTGCTGCTGGTTTCTAGTTATGGTTGTATACCTGCCTCGTTTCTGTATAGAGGGCATACAACAGCTGAGGAGCATGAGCTTGAACACAGTGTGATTGCCAGGAGGGAGCACTTCGTATGGGAGACAGCAAGTGTCCCAGCTTTGTGCCGAAGGAAGTGATCAAACATAACTGCGCCGGCATGGTTTCTACGTCCGTTTGCAGGTCTTCAAGTATTGCTGCTGACTTCGCCGCGTTTCGAAGTGCCTGCCCTTTGAAGAAGTTCAATCCTCGGTTGGATAGCAATGGCAGGCGATTCGCCAGTTGTTTTGATACCTGCTGACGACTTACATGTGCAGCCCAACTGTGCTTTGACACTTCATGTCTTGTGTGCTTTTCGAACAATACCTTTGACTGTGTTACTTTCGACAGTTGACAATCTTGGTCCTCTCGTGATATGTTCCTTGCCGCATCTTGCCGCCCTGTGAATCTGATATTCAGCAATCCACACAGCCTTTGATTCGCATCCAAGAAACACGGTGCACTGATCCTGTCCCAGAAGACGTTGCGCATTTGGGCCTTGTGTGAAAGTGTGCATGACGTTTCTTGGGTTGGCACTTCGGTAGTTGTGATTGGCGTCAACAGGCAGGCGAAGTCGAAGTGTTTTGCCTGTAACTTCAAGATCTCCTATATGTGGAGAGGCGGCCTACGAACATATAGCCAGACGCGATACCGGAAGGAAGGTGGCAAGGTAGGGCTGGCCCAAAGACAATAGACACCGAAGTCTCGGCTAATGTCAAGTGATGTCGGAAGGTCTGAGAGGGCCGCGACTGTAGGAGATCATGGACTGGAGACAGAAACACTGGCTCTGTGCTGTTGCAGATTGCTTTCAGGTTCGCTCAGCCGCACTCGCAGCAGGAGTGGTGCTACTACCAGGCAGACAAATCAATGCTGCTTGAACTGCACTCGTTGATGTACGTTCCAGATTCGCGAGGCAGGTCCAGCTGGTGATGCGAATCCAGTGGTGTGAGCTTCTTAGTTGAGAGTTCTGCAGATGGACTTTGCGTGGGTGCTTCTTATCTCAACATGGATTCTCAGAGTCCCTCTGATCTGTATGCCATGTATGCCAGGTTTTTGCACGGGACCAGCAGCACAGCTGCCGCTTTTTTCTACCAGGTGAACAGATTTGTTCAGCTGGCTCGGGTGCGTGTTGGAAGTACGAGCGCAAGTCTTCACCTGTTGCCTGCTGTTCTTACGTTGTCCACGAGTCACAGCATTTCTTTGCGGAGGTGACCTCGCTCAGTCAGAAAGGATATTGTGATCGATCCTCAGCAAAAGTGCCCATCATCGCATGGTGTACGCTCATTGCGCCCTTGGCTTTCAGGTTGTTAGCGCGCAGTATCCGGCTTATGGCAGCCCAGATGAGTGGTGCAAGGACCCACGCTGAGCAACATAGAGGAATGTTCACTGTGACTTCTGATGGAGAAGAGCAAGGAAATCCATCTGCTGCATTCGCTGAGGGCTTCGACCTTTTCTTGGATGCCTTGCGGTGCCTTGGAAAGTAGCACAACGCGTCATAGCAGAAAAGATACGAACATGTGCTTCCAAAAACTGGCTGTTTGCACAAAAAGGTATCGCGCGGTTCACCTGGTTGGTGCCGGGCTGGGTCTCCTGGAAGCATCAGAGCCATCAGTTTCCGCAGCTTTAGTGCATGCCATGCCAGTCTGCCTCAGCAGTGGCTTTTGTCTGAGGCGGCTTCCTTGCGCAGCATTTTGCTTGCAAGCACCGAAGCCGTGTCAGGCCCATATGGTGAAAACCGGTACACTGTATACTAAGGAACACAGCTGAGTAGTGGTGTTCCCTTGAAGGTCTCTCATTCTGTGCAATGCCTTTGCATCGACAAATGCCTTTGCCATGAGGGCCGGCACGCATCGGTCTCAGAACAAGATAGTATGCTGACATGCCGTGCAGCACGCTAGCAGCGAGGTGGGGCAGCCTCATCTCCCTCATGCCGACAGCCTTTCTGCGCCAGGCAGATGAAGATTGCTCGCGCATGCTCGCGCAACGTTGCGCATATGCGTGTTTTTCAAGTTAGGACCGTTGAGCCCCCAAATGTAGGTGCCGTGTTCACAGCATTACAACCATAGCACATGGCGCGTTCATGCTGTGCATGCATGCATTGATAAACTCCAGCTCACGAGAGCATGTAGCTGCGGCTGATATCCGCTGATGATTTAGCTAGCTTCGCTCCATTTTGCACACAAGCTGTGAGCTGCCCTCACATCATAGCTCGCGAATTCATTCTCCAAGTTCGGTCACTGAGAGACTTAGCACATAGACTTAGCAGTCTGGAGGACTGGTCCAATCCATGGTGTAGATGTTTAGTAGGTGCTTTTAAATATTTGGTGTTAGAAGGGTTCCTCTCAGCGCTTGTATGGATCTAGTGGCAGTGGACTTGAGGGTCGGCCATCAGAAACAGCTCACAGCTGTGCTATTCGGGCTTTTCGATTTGAGATGCGGCAAGCTGTGTGCAACGATGCAGGCCATGCAAGACACCCTGCCGCAGGCGAGACAGTAGTTTGGTTGCCGTTGACATTCCTGCATCCGGTCGCTCGCCCAACTGTTGACTGTGGATGTAGCAACTGTTTGCCGGCCACAGCTATGGATTGAAAGGGTACTTGTGGAGGCATTGGGCGATCAGGATGAGCTGGCTTATGCTGATCATGTTGCAGGCTGGCTTTATGGAGCTGCGAGCGAAGCAAGCAGTTGATTGGGTGGGACAGCAGGCAAGGACTCGGCTTCTGGTTCCAATTTTGCTGCCATTCTCTGCTACACATCCAGCTTGGGGCTGCGTAGTGCAACATGCAAGAGCACGCAAAGCACTTCTACGCCATCTGCCTATAGTTTTTGAAGCCAGACGCAGCTTCATTGGCATTGTGCTGCATGTGCAACGGCTAGTGCGCGTGCAGATTTGAATGCCTGATCAATCGAACAGCAGTCTGTGCGTAGGAAAAGTTGTGAGATTCAAGCTCATATGTTGGTCTGACAGAAGTCGCTTTTGCAGACTTGTTGCGAAGCTTTGGCCTTGCAGATGAACGACCTCAGCGGTGAAGACTTGGCCAGCAGGTGCAGCAAAACTGGCCGTCGGACATGTTGCCTGCAAGTGCACTTCAAGTCAAGCCTGATCTGTCAGGCTGAATCTCAACGTGAATGGTGGTCAAGTTGGTCCACTACAACTGGAAAGCCATGAGGCTTGGAACGGCTTGGAACGGAAGCTGTATGTAATCCACGCTCTTCGATGGGCTGGAGAGCCAGACTAGAAAAGTCAAGCCTGACCAAGTCAGATCAAGGACGGAGACTAGAAGAGCTTCAGTCTTTCTGTAAGATCTGTTTGGATAGCCCAAAAAAAGGCGAGCATCACCACAAGATGTCAAAATTGTTTTGTAGAGCGGCATAATTCAAAAGTGCGGGCTCAAACAACGTTCGCGATTCCCTGTCTTTACGGCAGATGCAGGCATTCTGAAGACCTGCATCTTTGGTCGGGGTTATGGATGGCCATACCCTCCCCCTCTTTTCCCCACGACTGAAGCTGATTGGGTTGTCACCCATAGTTCTAACATGCGAGCCTGCACGGCAGCGCCACTGGCTGATATGCGCAGGGGTTGGGGTGTAACATGGCGGCCTGGGCCTGCTGGGCAATGCAGCCCATTTGTATGCCCGCATTGAAAAATCACTGCACATGCAGGCTTGGGGATCATTGTGAAATTTCGTAGACTGGGAGCCACGCGCATGTGACATTGACTGGTTTGGCGTTGTGGGGCGATTGAATAGTTTGGCGTACAAAATGGTCTGCAGCTTGTATTCTGCTTCTTTCACATGTCTTCAGGACGTGGGGCCTGCTCGGCCCTTCAGCCGCTTTGTGTGTTTGCGTCAGAGTGTCAGGGCGCATGTGGGCTTCCGGAAGGCTGTCTCTGCAGCGAATTGCGGTTTGCGTTTTGCAGTTGCGAGCTGACCCGTGTTGACTGCTTCGGCTGCTGCGCAAATGTGCGAGGCAGTAGTGGGTGCAAGCGCAGAACTGCAGATTCGCCTGTCTCACCTTTTGCATGGGGCCCTTCACATGATCTTTTCCTGACACAGCACAGTTGTTCAATGAATTTGTTTTGGCAGCAGATTACGATTCTCGAGTCCAGCGGTGAGACTATGGTGCCAGAAGAGCTGCGCCGACAAGTCAAGATGTTGTGCCCCCCATATTGTGGTTTACTGTCGTGACTGCAGTTGAAGCATGTTTGATTAATGATGAAGTGACTGCTGATCTTGTGGGCACTTTGCTTTAGGTACAAAGGTGCCAGCTTTGCAGAGCTCAAATCCAGAGGTGATTTCCCATACCTGTCGAGACCAGAAGAGGCAGCCGAGGGATGCCGAGGGCTAATGTTAGGCTTCTCTTTGGTGGTAGGCTGGAAGCCAAGGAGATTTAGACTGTTGCAGGTCACCCTCTTCGTGGAAGTCCACATGCGGCGCTTCGGTGCATTTGCACAAGGTGGTGCGGCCATCCCCACGGCCTTTCCAGGCATTGTTGTTGCAAAAGATTGCTGTTGCCAGGGCAGCCCGCATTGGCAGTGGAAGCTGAAGCAATCGCAGACTTCCCCATGCAACAAGGACAGTTCCACTTTCACTCGGCGAGCCGTGCTGGAGATTTATGCCACAGTGACTGTTAATCGTAAACCGTAGTTCTTACTGAAACAATTCAGAGGCTAGGGCTCCAGATCTACAGGGCACTTTGTATCCTTTGTGCAGCCCAAACAGACAGCCGCCACAAAAGTTTGAGAGGTTTTTGCAAGTTTGCTTCAAAAATACTTACAGGGCACGTGGTAGAGAGCATCCTCCCAAGACTGGGATCAGTTGCGTAGTCACTTTTTTTTTATGCGGGAGAAGACCCAACTTTTGTTGATGATGTTGGCCAACAAAGATGCTGAAAAACCTTGGCGTTCCCAGGGAAGCGTTAAAAGATATTCCAAAACTCGAAGGCTGCATGCAACGAGCCGCATTGGCTGCATGGCAGTCACCTGGTGTTTCAAAAGCTAGGGTTCTGCCTCGCGAGCATGACATCCAAACATCCTTGAGACTGCTCAGGGAAGAGTGAACGTTGTGGTGGTGTTCCTGAATCTTGCTAGCACTAAGACCACCAGCCCGTGGAGGACTTCAAATGGAAACCATATTCGTAGCCGCTCCCCTTGTCTTTAGGGTGATTAGGCATACTATGCTACAAAATCACAAGCCGCCACTAGTTGCAAATGCTGTGCTGGTCGAAGCCCATCGCCCAAAACTTGTAATGAGGGTATGGGATACGCGACGTGTATTTAAGCATGTTCGCAACCTCCAACAACAAGGTCCATGCCAAAGTAAGGAAGGATGTGCTGTTGAGTACAGCTTGCGGCTTGCCCTGAGTGTGAGTTGAACAAAGACGAGACTAGGCATGCCCTTACCAGTAGATGGAGCAGGAGATATCTGGGAGGACGCTGCAAAGCCCCAGCGTCAGGCTATGCTGCTGGATCAATGCTTCTTACCCTTGCTGTGCCCCACCCGGGTGATGAAGCATGAGCCAGGAGTGGAAAAACCCATTCGAGGCTGATGTGCAACAGAGTCTTTGCCAATGACCTTTCAACAGCTATGTGCCTGACAGGATGACGACTTGTTGTAGCGCAGATGTGAATTGGCAGCTGTACATAGACAGGCTAGCTTCGCCGGCTTAACAATCCGTCTGTGACACGTGCAAGCTCCATGATGTGCTTCTTGACTAAGATGTGGACTTTTGCCGGCGTCTGCCAGCTTTGGCTTGCAGAGAGCTTGCGTCAGCCCTGCTTAGCACAGCCCAGAGCCTAGGTTCCCGCATGCTATGTAGGGCCGCCCCAGTATCTCCCCACAGCTCAAGGACAGTCAGACACAGAAACGTTGTTCTGCAACATGACCCGCTTGGTGTCAAGCGACCCGTCGCTGGATGCTCATCACAGCGCCAGTCTAAGCACAAGAGTACTTCACCGAACACTGCATAAGCCTGCTCTCGCTGAGGTGTGGGTTACTATCACGACAGCTGGCACTCTGGAAGCCTGTGCTGCATTCGACTTGAGCGAGCACTTGCTCTTTAGTGGATCCAGATAGGAAGGAACCAACAGATAGTTCCCGCGCCAATGCCCCCCAAGAAATCAGCGGATATTTTTGTGAGTTTCAGGCTAACAGACATTTTTCAGCACTGCCCCATCAGAGCGTTGCAAACAAGGCGCCTGCAATGGCCAAATCTTTCGGCAGCTTTAAAACAGTTGATTTAGCAAAAGCACCGAACACGTACCGCTATCAAGGGAGCAGTTGTCCGCTGAGCCAGAATTCTGGGATCGGTCTGGCTTCGCATGGTATGCTCTTGGGGTTGACCGAGACTTACAGGTGCCCGTAAGTTGTGGTCACCAACCCCCAGGCTTGGTGATTGTCTGGCACGATACAATTTCAAGTACAAATGCGAAGTCTATTGCCCCTCAAGCGAAGGCACCTGTGGCATTTGAATTCAAACGTAGCTCGCTTTGGACAAACCTCTAGAGCCTAGAGCCAACAGCTTCGAAGCCCGACTCTCGGAGCTCCTGTGCAGGAGAGGCGTGGCATGCAGGTCAAGGGTGGGCATGGCACGGAGGCAAGCTAGAGTCAGCTAGCTGCCAGAGTTTCGTAGAAGTAGGTGGGCCGTGAACGCTGACTAAGACCGCACGTGCTTTTTTGCTGGCAGGTGGTTGGGACTCTGCGTGGACAGAAGCTGGCTGCTACGACCTGAGGGTAGACTCCGTTTGGCATGCTACCAAGCCCTCTTCACTTTGCAAGTTCCGTGTGCTTCAGAGAGAGGATCACGCTAAAAGTATGCATAAATTGGTCCATCGCCGGTATCCGAGAAAGGGATGTTTTCACGACACATTTTAACTTGGGAAGAAGAGGCATGGGATGATTTGATCACAAACCAGTTGTCATCGGAGCATTAGTAATCATTAGCAGTGCTGCTGGAAGCTGTTTGCCGTTCTGTTGAGTCTAGTCGTTTGTACCAAGTGTAAGTTCATGCTGAAGCAAATCTAATTCAGCAGCCGCCAGAAGCCAATGTCGGTATGTCAGAGGTGCTGGGTGACGCCAGTGAGTGCTTGATAGGGGCAGTGGACTACTTGAGTTTCCCGGACCTGGCTGCCGTCCTGGCCTGCTCGCAACGGCTCCTGAGTCACGGGGCATCCACTTTTCTTTGGGATGAATCCTCATGGCGGATGAAGCACTTAGAAGCGCGCATTCCAGCACATGCGCGGTGGCGGCCTGCAAAGGATCCTGACCTGGTCGATCCCGCGGAAGCTCAGCCGTGGAAACATTTGCGAGCTGGTGCAAGCACCTGGCACTTCGCAAGCGGTTTGCAGCTCTACGAAGAAAAGAAGTTCGAGGAGGCTGAGGAGCATTTGCGGGCCCTGCTGCGGCTTCTTCCTGAAAGGCCCTTCGCCATGTGCCGCTTGGCAGACACGCTCTACGGCCGCGCTGTGTCTCTGCTCGCGTACCAACGTCAGCCAGAACGTTCCCAGAATCCACCTCCTGTCGTGGACGATAATGAGGCGGAAGATGAAAATGAGGCAAACGGGGAAGAAGAGGAGCCCGTTGCCTGGCTTTCGCGCTCGCCCCTCTCGACTCAACCGCGCCAAACTCCGGAACCTGCAGAAGCAGATGTTGAACGGCCAGAAGTCCCGAGCGAGGGGCTCGCGACTGCGAATATGGACAGCTCCCAGATCGTGCTTCCCTCGCAGCCTGACCTGCAGAACGAAGAGAGTGAGGCGAGGTTCCAGGTAATTACAGACTTGGCGAGTACTAGTAGCTGCGTAGCTTGAAAGTTGTCAGTCCAGGAGCTAGTTCTGGACGATGCGGGCGCCAGGCTGCGAATCGATTTTCATGTCAATGCTGACACAATCCTAAGTGTGCTAAGAGTTTGCAACTGGGAAATTGCTAGCATGCAAGAGGCCGCCTGAAGTTGAAGAGGCCTCTATCCGCAGATCCATGACAATTTCGTGCATAAGGGTGGCATGCAACTGCTGGTGGTCCGTTGGGCGCAGGAGACCACTTGCAGGATTGAGACTTTGCGAGAGCAGCTGCTGTCAGAGGCTGCCCGTTGTTGAGTCCGAGAGTCCGAGTTCAGCTTGCCCCGTTGCTTCCGTAGTCTCACGTCACCAGCAGCTGTCAGAAGCGGACTCCATCGCGGGCGTAGTGGTTCCATAATATGAGTCCTCTACTGCATTTTCAGTGCGCATTGGTACATGCTCTAGTGCCCCACTTGACACAGGGGTTGTTTGCCTGCTTCATTCAAGGGCTGGTGACCTTCATGACACAGACAGGGATGCTGAATCTTATTTATCATTTCGTGCGTCGGTTCTCGTGCTTCGACTCCCATGCTAAAGCTCCTGAAGGCCTTTCCTCTCCCAAGTCCTTCTCAGAATGCAGGCTTCCATTGGTCGGAACGTGCTGGAGTTGCGTGTGGACTTGCTAGAAAGTCCAAGCTTGCCATGAGAGGCCAAGGACCTCTACCAACGCTCCTATTGCCGATCCCCAGAGTGTTCATACGCCGCTGGGAGCTTGTCCTCATGCAGGGTAGTGGCTGTAATGATGTAATGATGTAATGTCCTCCAGCAAACACATCTGGTCTTCTTTGCAAAGGTCAATGGCTTGACGTTGTTCGTTCATGTGAGGTGGGATCTGCATGCACAAGTCTTGCGCGGCTTGTCAACAGATGTTTGAATTCAGCAAAACGCAGATCTCAGGTCTGAGAAGATTGATTTGCTGGAGCGGGCGATCAAGTTGGATGGAGAGTCACTCAAGCCTGTGTGCTGTAGCATAGCTCCTCAATCACTCAGAGCCAGGACCCTGCACCATATCCTGTGCCAGGAACCCGTATGCCCTAGCAAATCTCGGAGCCGAACTCTTTGGAGAGGAGCCATGCTACCAAGCTGGCTTGTCTCGGTGTTCGACTTGCGCTGATGGTGTCAAGATCTTGGCACATCACAGCTGGCCGTATGTGTGGTACCTGACAACCGTACCCGTGTGAATTGCGTTTGCCAATGGTGCTTTGCTGCGTGGTTGGTGCGACTGCTGGGAAAAGAATTCTCCGGACTTCTGCGCTCTCCCATCGCACTGATAATCGGCTTTGGTCAGGAACTTGCAAGCCAAACTTTTATGTTTTGCCTCAGAAATTCCTGTACTTCAGGCTACCTTGCAAATGTATGTTGCGAAGCCTGGCCTGCCTTGAAATGCATGCTTTTCTCCTCTTGACGTGGATGCCTGCCTCAGTTCAAGTGCCTTAAACTTGCTAACTTCAATTGATAATGTAATGTTTACATTGGCTCTATTCTAAGATATTCCGAGCATCTTGGAGTGGCATAGTCTCTCGAGTAGCGCGAGGATGATCAGCGAGCACTTCACCTTCTGGACAAGGCCTTGGAGCGGAGCCCTCAGCGCTTCGGAGAAGGCAATTTGAGAAATGCTTTCAGTGTGAGGAGCCTAGTAGCTCTCGGCTCGGCAGACCTTCCCATTTTGTGTTGACAGAAAGTCTCCTGGGCAGATGACCTTGTCAAGATTCTGCGTAGTACGAGGCTTAAAGGGGCACCATGATGAAGAGCGGTGCGCACCTTCTGGAATCCTCCAAGCAGAGGGAAGCGAGATTGGGGTGTCCGTCCGATACACGGGATACATAACGTTTCGATCTCGCCGAGACTATCTGCGTAAGCAAAGTGCGGACACTAGGCGGCATCCCCTCATGAAGTGATGTTAAGCGAGCCGGCGTCTCTGAGTTCAAAGGCGTGGCTACTATGTCACCATGCGCTTGCGCATGCTGTACCAGGCAAGTCTACTCATCTCGAAGTCAGCCAGTCAGGGATGGCTCAGCTTCAGCGATTCTGAGCTGGAAGTGGCCGACGCAGCCCAATTGCTTGAAGATCCCTGTCAGGAATGTGATCGCGAATCCATGCACGCCATCCTTTGAAAGTTGTCTTGGCTTGTGCTCAAATGGATTCAGGGATGGTAAATGGTGGCATTGTGCAGTTCAAGGCCTGGCTAGCATTCCTTGAGGTGAGCGGAGCGGAACACGATCGATTATCTAGCAACAGATATCAAGGGAAAGGCTTGGGGCACCCAAGTGAAGCCGCCATGCCTGTGGCTCTTCGCTCAAGATGCCTTTCCTACACCTCCGAGGCTTAACCTTTCTGCATCAGCAGGAAAGCCTGGAAAACCATGGAGAAAAGCTCGCTGGTCCCGCTGTTGCGGTTTTGCATGGCTTGGACAGAATGCGGTGCTCGGTTGAAAACGGGGAACATGTTGTCTGCAAAGAAACCGTCACACTGCCTTGACGAGCAAAGGCGGAAGCCAGCAGTCATTGCTCAGGATCAACCCTCGGCTTTTTTATGCTCGCCTTTGCAAGAGCAAGGCTTGGCAAGCATTGATTGCCGGAGGTGTGTGACACTGTGTGAATGCTGTGTTCTGTGAATTGGGACTAGAAGGTTCTCCTCCGGCTTGGCAATCTGCCAGCCGCAGTAGATGCAGTCTATTTCTCAGACGTGAACAGTTCAGCACAGTACCATACATTGCCTTCCGCTTTCTTGCTGGAATTAGGCACGGTCCCAGCTGGAGTGGCAGCCGCACGACGAGTGCCATGGACATGGATTTGATGCTTTTCCTTTTCGTGGTTGTAGCCTCTGCAATGATCCATGGGCCTCGAAGCTGCAGAGGAGCCAGGCATGCACTTGATTCATCTACCTGCACTGGCTTGATCTGGCTCCTGAGGGTTGTTCAGGTTGTTATGATTAACGCAACAAGCTGCAACTGAGCTGGAGATGTCCCGTGGAGTCGCCACATTTCGTTCGTGGGGGGACTTTGGCCGGTGTTCCTGGCTAGGTGCTAAACTCAATCCGGCTAGAATGAATGGTGCTGCTGGCACTTGCCAGCATTACTAGGAAGAGGATGCTAGACGCGGATTAAATACGAAAGACGAGGTGTCACTAAACCTGCGAAAGTGGAGTGCATCGGGTTTTGGTCAATCGGGCTGTCAGGATGGCTTATCGTGGAACATGCAAATTTGCATGCGAGGAGGTGCGTTTTATACTCAAGTGAATTCCAGCGTGTTCGCTAGCCCGCTTGAAGAGCGACCAAGTGCACAAACCTTGCATTTTACCAAGGTTAGGACAATCTCAAAGCTGATGTGGGCTGGGTAGGGAAACTTTCGATTTCAAAAGCAGCGGCAAATCCAGGGCAAACCCCGCAGCTCGCGCCAAAGTTGAAGAAATGCCTAAAGCGCTCCAAGCCGCTGGCTAAACCCCCAACATCACCAACCCCTTAACCTGACGCAAGGAACCCCGAAGCCCTCACACCACTAACAGCTGTTTTTTTTTTCTCGCAGTGGGCTTTTCCCTTATTCCCACTTGTTGCCGTTTGTGTTTGTGCGCACGGGTCTAAAGCCATCCTGCGTTTTTGAGGATTTTCAAGATTGCTTCCGGGGGTGCACGGGGAAGGGGGCTTCCATGAATGGGTGGTAGCATCCGCTGACGTAGTATAAACACTTGAAACGTTTCAATTGTTTTTTCTTGACTTTGATGTTGTCGGAAAACGAGTGCTTCATGTCCGAAACCTCAGAATCTCCGACGGGCGCAGTGTCTTCTCCCATGATGGCATATCCCGAAAATTTGTCGCGCCGCAAAGCTGGAAGTCCCGCGTTTGCCTGCTTTCAGAACATTGCCTCACAATGACGTAAAGTGTTTTCCACTCATGAACTAGTGCTATCTCTGCAGCGAAACTCTCGTGTGGTATGAAGGCTGTGAAGGTGATCGGCCCGGGTATGTGTTTGATGAAAATTATGGTTTTAAGGTTTATGCTGACAATCATTTTCCTTGCGCGCGAGGGTCTTAACCCAGCTTCTGAGGTTGTTTTCTTCTCCAAGCTCGTTGCCACGGCAGAGCATCGGGTCAAAGCTTGTCAAAACTGCTCGCGCCAGAGAAGGTGGCGGATGTCTCCACATTGTTGGATCAGGCTTCGATGAAGGGGCTGTGCTTCGGGCTGCAAGCGGAGCAAACGCGCTGGAACGCAATGCAGGCCATTCTGATGAGTGCCGCTCGTCTGGCAAAACAGCTTTTCTGTTCGTCGACTTGACTGCAAAAGAGTGCCTCCCGATGTGGTTGACCCCGGACCAGATTGGGGGCAAATTTTGCGTGAGGGAGGACAAGGAATGGGCCCACAGCAACTACTTCAGTGTTCCTACAGCAACGCCGCAACCACGACCGCCGCCACCACTACTACTCGCAGCATCAAAGGCAGCAGCAATGACAACAGCAACACAAACAACGAGAACAACGAAAACCAATAAGGACGCCGGCACCGAAACCAACACAAACACCCTCACCAGTGGCGGTGGTGGCGTGAGTCTTGACGCAATCTCGGGGATTGGCTGCCAGGCAAGATTTTTGCCTTTCCAAAGGCTGCTATCCGAGTTAGCCGAAACAAATCTGCGCACCGCGTTCACAAAACTCCTCTCTTCTTCTTATCTACTCAGCCGGACCAAACCTATCAACCTTCCAGTGATTTCTATGCCGTTATCGGTCGTCCGCATCACTACGCGTTGCAATCATGCGGCTGTCGCTGCTCTCGACCGTCGTATGCTGTTCTTTTTCGCGATGCCAGTCCGTCTTTGTCTTGGCAGGCCACGTGCCATGTGTCACGAGTTTTGATGGGAGACCTGAACGCACGGACTTCAAGAAGCGATATGCAGTCATCATGGTGGGCAACATCACCTTGCCAGGATGGCAGTCCGGTTTCTGTCCCAGCTTGAGTTCCGGCTTGAGGTTGTGCCCGCGCCCCGAACACCAAATAGGACGGATGTGCCATGCATCTTGTGAAGTCCTTGAAGCTGCCTCTGAACTGAGGCGTAGACGAATGTTGATTCTTTAAGGGCTGACGCTTGCCAAAGTCATCAGCAAGGTGTCAGTTGCTGCATGCAAGGGTACAAGACCTGGCTACGTGACCTTTTTTTTTCACGGGCGCTGATGCACCTTGTTATACCAAGTACAGGTTGTTTGACTTGGAAATCAGAATGTTGTGCGCTGGAGCAGCAGCGCAGAATTCGAAACTGTAAAAGCCCTGATGCGCTGGTGAGATGCTGTGCGCAGAATTGACAAAGGCCCAAGCAGAGTGTGTAGGTAGCTGGTCGCGCTGTTTCGAGCAGTGTGTTTACAGTTGGCCCAGGCAGCTCTTGGGATGAATCCTGGTGGGGTTGCGAAGCTGCGGGGCTGACCAATCAGGATGAGCTCAGACTGCGTTTCAGGCTGATGTGCATGCAGCTCATGCGAACCCATGCGTTTGCCATGATTGAGGACGAAGTGGCATTCACTTGGCAGGTGCCAAGCCTAAGCTAGCATTGCCTGACGGCTGTTAATTCCTTGACTGAAGCTTCTCATGCAAGCGTGGCAGAATGTCTCAAGCAAGCCGTAACACCAGGCAGCGATTTGGGTAGGACAACTTGAGCATGATCTTTGCAGCGCACGGCTTAGGCCATTTCAACATTTCACTTGCTCCCGGCTAGGGTCATTTTTGGTGGCATTGCTCTGGGAGTTTTGTTTTCTTTTGGGACTTTTCTTTGGCTTCTTGGTGTCTGTTGGCTTCCTGGCTTCTAGGCTTCTTGTCTGCAATGGCTTCTTTGGCCCCTTGTTCTCAAGACCTCAAGTTTGCCATCATCATGCTGAGTTTTCTCCGCCTGCAATTTATCACTGTTCCTATTCACTATTGCTTAAAATAATAATTATCGGATATTATCAGCGTTTGTATTATCTGTTTCTGTAGTAAGATTGCGAATGTTTTTGATTACTATCAGTACTACTACTATTACTACTAGTACCTTTGTTCTTACCATTACTATCACTATCGTTATCGTTAATATCTTCAATATGATGGTTATCGTTACCAGCGATTCAATCGCTAACGCAAGACCACCTCGGCAAGTGTGGTTAAGGCGAAGCCACACGCCAGGCACCCCCCCCCCCCACCTTCAGAAACCGAAAAGAAAAGAGCCGATCCCACTGAAAGGAGGTAGAGGGAGGGTTAACTTACTCTCCTAGCTCCGGGCTTGGATCTATCACCAGAAGTATTTTCATTACTATTGTCATTATCACCATCATCAATCCGATGTTTGTTATGGCTTTTGTTATTACTACTCCTATCGCTATCATTTCTTCTTGCTAGCACTGTTGCTATTAATTTGTATTACTATTATTTTTGCTACTGCGTCATTATTACTATGACTATTCTTGATACAATCGCTATTATCTGTATTAGTGTTACTACTAGTAGTAAGCCTACTCTTATCACAATGCCTAATTTAATTGCTAACGCGAGACCGCCTCGGCACAACCACCTGAGGCTAGAGAGCACAGGGGAGGGGCAGTTGAGACCGTGCTCCTGGACCCCCCGGCCTCTCGGGCCCCCAGCCCCCCCTACCCCCCCGACCCCCCCTTGCTTACTCTTCTTCCAGCCCTGGATCTAAATGTCTGAGGCCTCCGGCCTCGGCGGATTACTATGACTTTTAACATCACTAGCACTTTATTCTTGTTAATATTTTGTTATTATTGTTTGTTATTCTACTTTTTACTATTCTGACAACTATTACTATTACTATTACTATTACTATTACTACTACTACTACTACTACTTCTACTACTACTACTACTACTACTACGTACTACTGCTACTACTACTACTACTACTATTACTACTACTACTACTACTGCTACTACTACTACTAGCCGCCCCCCCCCCCCGGGCCT